CACGAATCGATTGAACGCGTTGGTTTTAACCGCGGTTTTGTTGCAAGTTGTTTATTTTAGAAAAGCGCGTATATAATCTCTGATTATTTTTATTATCACTTAATAATCGGTGCTTTTTCGTCTACAACTGTATATGGAAAGTTTAAATAAGAAACCTTTCATAATATTCATGGGAGAAATGTTTTTCCAGATTTTTTTTAACGATGGAACCATGGCTTTGTAGCTATGATAACTTTTAATTCTCTAAATTTTTCCGCATGTCAAAAAAATATTGATTCAGCAGAAATGATGAAAAAAGAAATTAGCAAAATCGTATACAGGTGGATATCATCTAGTGAGTTTATATGGCCATATTTTAATATTCTTGTGGTATATGGCTACACAGGATACTTTGTTAAGCATAGGAACTACATTTAAAGTGTCCCCAACAACTGTAATGAGTATAACTAATAAGGTGCTCCACTTTATGGTATAACTGAAGTCAGCCTGTATCAATTTTCTCAAAAATGAAGCTGAAGTATAATAACAATATCCAATACCCGGCAAAATTCTAACTAACATTTCAAATAATAACCAGAAATATAAAACTACTCTTGAGTTGGGTAAATACCACAATTTTGCGGTGATAACTATGACATATAACAGCTGATTCATGACGTCACGGCTCTTATAACCAAACTGATAACCACACTCGCTTGAACGGATCGGTAAATACCAACCCAAAATGGTAAATACCATTTCCATTTGGTTATCCGCTTGAATTTGATTTAGGTTCTCTGATGTAGAATTAGTTGAAGTTAGAAAAGACAGCGATAATGTCAAATAGGAAGCAATAAAAGCTAGCAACGGAGTATTGAGTTTCAAGCAACGCAGCACGGCGATAGCGGAAGCGGTCGGCTGATTACTGCGATAAGAAAAGGAAAACCTCAAGGGTATAGGTCATAGACCTTCCTCTAGGCTCTTTGGAAGAATCAGTCTAAGGACCAGAGTAACTAGAACTAGCATTTTAGTAAAGATAGCGACGACAAAAGAATGAGACCGTAGAAGCACCGCATCACAAATATATCAAAGACCTTAGACTTCATCGCGTATACGAGGGATGTCTTTTAAGTTTTGAATATAGGAACATAGTACTGAATCTTAACCTCACTCTTTAGTAAACTTAAATTCAAAGTTTCACCACAATACGTGCAGTGTTCTCACTACAGTGAATTTTTAAGTGTCACTAAATCATTAGAAAAATGGAACTCAACCGAGAACATTTTCGCGCCATAATTTATTACAACTTTCAGAGACAAGTATCGCAACAAGAATGCCTTGCTGAGTTACTGTCTGTTTTCGGCAACGAAGCGTCACACCAGTCGATAATTTCCCGTTGGTATGGAGAATTCAAACGTGGACATATGCAAAACTTAAAAGACATCCCTCGTACTGTTCTATTTTGATGTAAAATTAGTCGACGGATTACATGAATTTAAGCAGGTTAACTCAGAAGCAAAGGAGGTAATGGAGGTCACATTGCAAGGTTCCATGTTGAAGCCTGCGGACGCCCCAAGAGGAGGAACTCCCCTAACTGGCAGACCTTGAGCTTGTTCTGAAAAGCCTCTTTACAGATCAGATCTAACCGCAGTAGAAGCAGAATTACAGAAAATGAATGCTGACGAAAATAATGGGGACCACAAAGTTTCATTTCGAGATCTGTTCTCTAAGGAATACATAGACCATATACCTGGTACCAGAATAATTAGAATTACATTACAGGAACTGAACACCCGAACTTCAAAACACGTATACTTAATCTGAAGTCACTTGAAATAGCATAAAAACCTTTGGTCGGCGCGTCCTTTGTAATTTCATGACGTATCATAGGCGTGCGGTCATTTATTTAGAACGATAATAATAATGTTTTTATATCACAATAAATGGATTTTACTATCTTCTTATTTTTTTTATTTGGGATAAAAAATACTTATATTGGGAGTTTAATTTATGTTGACTGAAAGTTAAGAAATGGAAAAATTACAGAATTCCAACGTTTGACATAGGCAAATATTTACATAGCAGGTAGGTATATAAAAAGGTATATAAAGACTTACATTATAGGTATTTATATATCATCCTCGCCTTCGGAGCTGTCGCTAGAGTCATCTTGTAGAGGAATTACAACGGGATTTACAGGAGGCAAAACACAATATTCATTTTCTTTTTCAATGCCTAGAACACTGCTTCCATAGGTCTGTGGCAGCAATATGAGATACTGCATCTCTTATTGTGGCCAATAGCGATTCACTTAATTGAGGGGTCTGATTATGTTTTCTTACTTTTTTTTAAAGCAGCCCAGACCAACTCAATCGGGTTAAAAATGCAGTAATAGGGCGGTAGACGTAATACTTCATGGCCATTTTGCTGAAGCAGATTGTCAACAACATACTCTTTTTCAAATTTTTGTCTTTTAATAAGATCCAATAATATGGCTTTGGTTGATTTTTGTGGTATTTCCATTCCCTTATCCTTCATAAAATCAATAATGTCTTGTTTTTTTGTGCCTGTATTCGGAATTTTGTTTTTCTGTCGGGAATGGTATGGCGCATTGTCCATAATAATCACTGAATTAGGGGAAATCTTTGGTATTAACTGCTGCTCTATCCACTTTTCAAATAAGTCGGAGGTCATGTCCTCATGATAGTCGGCACATGATTGTTTGATATTTTTGGCAGATAACAGCAAGGCATTAGGTATAAATCCATTTTCACTGCCAGCATGGAGAATAATGATTCGTTTTCCACGGTTGCATGGTGCATTTAAAATGCACTTGTTGCTGTCGTCAACCCAGCCGTACTGCACAACATCATGGGTATCATACCACGTTTCATCCAGGTAAATCAGATTTCTTTTCTGCTCTCTATAGATTATAACTTTGTGCAAAAATTCTTGGCGCAATTCAACGATTCGAGACGACTCCATAATCACCATTCTTTTATCTAATTTTTTGTATTGAAAACCACACAGTTTTACAATACAGTGCAGTGAGTCTAAGCATTTGTAATTATAAAAATCTTCAGGATAATCTTTTAACTTATCCCGTATCATTTCCAACGTGGGCACCAAATTTTCTTTATAAAATCCGTATATTATACGACGAATATCTTCCTGAAAACCCACGTCTATTCTTTTTAATTTTTGCCCTATGCGCTTTCTGTGGAAGGAATGGTTGACTACATCTCCCCTTTCTATAACCCGATAAATGGTAGACCGACTGATTTTTGTCAGGATACAAATTCTGTTTAAAATTTGATTTTGCGAGGAATCTGGATTTTCGTTTTTCAGACAATCATACATATTTAGGATTACTCTTTGGGTCTGTTCCTCTAAATCTTTATGAAAGAATTCTGCCTGCACAGGTTCATCAACCATCTCCTCGTGGCTTGGAGCATTTTCCCAAGGTCTCCAAAGAGCCATATTTAGGATACACAAGAACAATCAACACAACAATTAAATCAACAAGTAAACAGAGTATTCAAAAAGTCAAAAACACACAAACTAATAAAATCTATGAAAAAACACGGACGTTTCTTATTTTTAAGCTGTAACTATATTTATTTTTTGTTATTGATACATGAATTATTATTGTTTTTTTTTCTTAACAAGCTACCTCATGGTGATTTTTTTTTATAGTAGTTTGCTCTGTAAATGGTGTTAAACTGTTGGGCAATAAACGCTTATTATTATTATACTTATATTTGCTGCGAAATTTGGCGATTTTTGCAGCAACAGAGCGTGTTAAATATAGATATATAAAACGCACCCGGTATTTCACAGTATTTCAAGTGACTTCAGATAAAGTATACATAACAAAGCATCAAGGAGATTAACTTGGTACTGAAGATAACTATAGAGATCATTGTGGAAATACCACAGGGATCCGCGATTGGTCACATTTTTTGAGGACGTTTACTGCGCTCCAAGGAAAACACTTTCACGGTAATACGTCGACGGCCTAGTACTTATACTGCAGGACCTCTGAAAATTCAGAATGATCGCGAGAATGTAGTCAAATAGATCAGATCAAACAGATCTAAACGAGATTAAAGAGGTCACTGTAGGAATACCACAGGAAAAGGGTGCTTTGGAACATCTTCCAGGATTCAGATTGGGAATGCTGACGGGAATTTAGGTATTAGAGTTAGGATGACAGATTACAGAACCTCGACACTGGAATCTCACAACAATGTTAATATAAATAAATAATAGTTTAAAAAATTAAAAAAAAAAAACGCTTTATAGCTAACCCTACTCAAAAGTAGAAAATAATTTTCAACATTCGCAATGCACAAGGTGAGAATGCACTACCTTGAAAAAGTATCCGCCTCTATTGCGCTGTGCCGAGTGCTAAAACCAACAAAGAGTAAGTCGTAAACTGCGCTAGCTCTATCTCTCTTACGCCCCTAGAGAGCATCTATAAAAGAATGTATCAATCCTGGAGATCCTAATAAGAATAATGGAAAATTGTTATCAAATATTGCATTTTCATCTGTCCTTGATACGCGTGCGAAGTTTCGTGTTGATCAAACTTCTGAAAATTGGTGAAAATTATGTTCAAAGACTCCCTTACATACATACCGGCCAATCTAATAAAAGCGTGTGAAAAAGAGCGTAAAACATGTAGCATTCGACCTAAAGTAGGGACAAGTAACAATACCTAAAGTCAGAACCATACAGCGTCGAACTAGGAAACTGATAACAGGGAATACATTAAAAAAAGGATCTAGGCGGAGCAGGATCAAGAGTTACACTGAGGATATCCTGTTATATCGAACACCTTAATCAGTGGTTGGATAGTTTTGTAAATCTTTGTACGTATAAGGCCTAACTGTACAAGAAGCCATCAATAGTGTGATACCTTGAGAAATAACAGTACTTTAGCCGCATAAGCATAAAACGTGGTACCGCGGCGAGCAGTTCGTCGGTTTGTCGTGTGTTTCACATAAAACGAGGTTTACCGGTCCGACCGAGGGCGGTGACCGGTCGGTCGGACGGTGCTGCCGTACTGAACCTCGTTTTTCTTCCTCGTTCTTCTTTTCTTCTTTCGTCTTCTGTTCAGAGGCGTAGAGATACATAGGTGATCAATTGAAAACACCGCAACTAAAACGTAGATCACTGTGTTTCTATTGCATCGATATATTCCATGGCGCAACACAATTCTATTTTAGAACGCAGATATTTACAATGCGATCAAATTATACAGGGTGGCCGATATGTAACTCACTGGTTTGTATGTAGAATATTTGTGAAATGAAATAAAATACGTCATAAAATCCGGTGACCTTGGTGGCCAGTTGATATCACCAAGTCGAGAAATTAAATGTCCCGGCAATATTGTTCGCAAGAGATTCATTGTTTCCCTAGCTGTGTGACAAGTTGCTCTGTCCTGTTGAAACCACATGTTTTGCAGGTTAAATTGTTAGATTTGAGGAGCCAAAAAGTTTTGCACCATATCACGGTAGCGGTAGCCAATATTAAGCTGCAATATTGCTTGACTGTATTGTCGGCGACTTTCATCGTCACTACAGTATATTCAGATAAGAGATAGACCGGATGTAAACAAAAGGTTCGGGTGATTTTCACGCTAACGCCGCCGTCTCGACGTAAAACAGGAGCCCTCATTGGTCAATTCGCAATTAAATGCCTATGCCGAGCGGCAGAGCAGTCGTATCAAGGCAGAGTCACATTCAGGTTCAGACGTGTTACGTATGTCGTGTGCATCATTGCAATTTGATATTTCTTTGGACGTTTTCGTTTGTTATCTTATTAAGTTGTTGAGTTTGTCGTTGTTATTGTTATACCTTGTTATTGATTGTTATTGTTATCAACTGCTTGCGCAAAATGCCCAGTAGTACAGATACTGCCGATGAAGTTGTAAACTCCTGTAGTCCACCTAGGAAACGCTCTAAAATAAGACACCTGAGTGCAGAAATGAAAGAGGTCAGTTTGAATATATATAAGATCGAGCGCGAGGAGAACGAGGCATCAACCATCAAAGAAATTGTTGTGAAGGTTTCTCACAAAGTTGGGGTGTGTCGCGCATCAGTGTTTAATGTGTTAAGACAATACAAAAAAAATCACACCTTTTCTGAGCCAATGACCAGTAAACATTGCAAAAGTATTATCAAATCATTGGATGAAGCTGATAAGCATGCGATTAGGAGGAAAGTGCATGAATTCTTCTTTAGGAATGAAATACCTACTATAGATAAAGTACTGCAGGAGGTAAATGGAGATACAACGTTGCCAAATTTCAAACGATCAACTTTCCATGCGTTACTGAAGCATTTAAATTTCAAATGGAAAAAACGGGGTCGTAATAGTTTACTACTGGATAGAGAAGAAATTGTGCTATGGAGGAGGGATTATTTAACAAAAATTGGGAAATATAGAAATCAAAACAGGAAGATTTATTACCTTGATGAAACGTGGGTAAACGCAGGACACACTACAGGTAAAGTATGGGTTGATGATTCTGTAACTTCATCCAGGAGGGCCTTTCTAGATGGACTGTCCACCGGATTAAAAAATCCAGCAGGTAAATACGAGTAATAGACAACAATCGGATGTTTTTCAAACCTTGGGAACAAGGTTCTAAACATTACTTCCAGAGGGCAGATAAAACATATTACAAGTAACAAAACTTTTATAACTTTCGATAAAATGCGTGGATGTTTTATTGTCATTTTCATTTGTTAGAACTTTTTTAAGCCATGTTTTTATGTGTCTTCGATATTTCAATAATTTTTTAATGTAATCTTAAAATATGTCGAATATTATAAACTTAAAAAAAGTTACTAAGTTTTATATTGTGTACCGTTCCTAATATTTCTAATCATTTTAATTCATACTTTAAGCTTTATAAAGTTATAATTTGTTAATATTAATATTTGCGCGTATTTCAGGTTCCTGATCATTCATTTTTTAAAGGTTTATATCTTTAAATTAAATTGCGAAGCGCTGAGTAATCATACGACGTTCAATATTCTTTCTTTCAATAGGACTAAATAATCCCAATTATAGCAATCTGATACTCATGTCTCAATGTTTTTTCGCTGAATGTGATGAAAACATTTGAAAAAGGTTCGCTTATTGAAATAAATCTACACCAGTTAGTACTTCGATTTCCAGGTAAAGGGAAAAGGCTCATTATCTGCCATATTGGCAGTGAGGATGGATTTGTTGTTGACGGTCTGTGGTGCTTTGAGTCTAAGAAAACTGGAGATTACCACGAGGAAATGAATAGCGAATCGTTTGAACAGTGGTTTTCAAAACGTTTACCGAACTTAGAGGAAAACGCAGTAATTGTGTTGGATAATGCGCCTTATCATTCTCGAAGAATGGAGAAGGTCCCAACAACGGCTTCAAGGAAAGTTGATGTTCAAAATTGGCTCCGCTCGAAAAATATCAACTTTGAAGAAGCAATGCTGAAAGTACAATTATTAAGAATTGTCAAGGATCACAAGGCGGAATATCAAAAATACGCCATTGACGAAATGGCAGCAAGTCAAAATAAAACTGTGCTCCGTTTACCTCCATACCATTGCGAGCTCAATCCCATTGAGCTCATATGGGCAGAGGTTAAAAATTATATAGCTAAGCACAATATAACTTTTAAATTTTGTGACCTCAAAGGACTTTTCAAAGAAGCACTAGAATTAATAACAGCGCAAAAATGGGAAAACTGGTATTAAGCACGTGAAAGACAAAGTTGAAAAGAGAATGTGGGAACTGGACAATATTTTAGAGGAACAAGTCGAGCCATTCATTATTGACGTTGGTGCTTCAGGCAGTAGCGATGATGAAAGCTCATCAAGCTCATCTTTCCAATAAAAGATGTCCTTCATCAAATTCGGTAAGTTATAAGTAATTATAAAGCTACTGTATTTTTTAATTAATTATTGACATTTTTGAACCCATTTTGGCAAAACCTATTCAAGAATCTACTTTCTGGCAATGTTCAACAATGCACATTTTTTTACGTTTTGAACGTTTTAATTTAGTTACATATTTACCTAGAAATCAAAAAATATACTAATCAATATTCTAAAAGCAATTTTAAGAGATATACGATTATTTTTAATTTAGGCTAATTTAAACGCCATTTTGAGATTATATTCGACTGTATTTCACCAAACATCAGCCGGCATCCGAAGCTGGAAATCGAAGCGAAAATTTTGAAACCCTTATGTATATTTACATCATTATATATTTCTTACCCCACCCCCACATGGTCCTATATCCATCACCAATCGTATACACATCGAATTGTGCTAATTTACTACAAAGTTACGCAAAGCAGCATCTACTATCTAAAATATGTACTGCGTGACTCTTAATACGTCCCTACCGAATGTTACAGCATTCGATGATCACGTGGTCTTGTTTATGTCCGGTCTATCTCTTATCTGAATATACTGTAGACAACCACGAATGGTGCAAGTTGAGGAAGAACTACTGAATCGCGTAGACGAGAATTCTCAACAAGCACTAGAGACGTGGCTAGAGAAGTGCAAGTATCAAAAACTAAAGTGTGGCAAACGTCCAACGTGTACAAGCCCTTCAACCTGTCGATTTTCCAGAAAGAGTGCGGTTTTGTGAGTGGTTGTTGCATCAACATGACAATAATCCGGACTTTTTGAAGTGCATATTGGTGACAGATGAATCTACGTTCGCGCGTAATGGGGTGAATAACTTTCGATTTCAGGCAGAGGCGTACTTAGCCCTTCTCGTCAACTGGAGAGTGAGTACTTTTTCCTTTATTTTTTTTTTACTTGGTCGCTCTCGTTTCACTACACATTACCTTTGTTATTTCAAGGGTAGTTGTTTCTGAAAAGGAAAACCCCAACTTTTTTTTATATACATCTCATATTGTTAAGGGAGTCATTTGGTAGAAAAGATATTGTATCCAATCTAGCCTCATGTAATATTATTGCAATTAAAAAAGACGTTAATTGTTATTATTGAAAACGGGAAAATGTTTGAACTTTGTACGGAGAGCTTTTCGACTTTGAGGGAAAAAAAATGAAATCAGAATACTCTATTTGAAGACAAAATACTTGAGAAAATACCCAATTGTATGAAAGCACACCTTATGGAACCTTTCTTTTTAAAGGTTGTTAGTAGAAATTTTAGTCAATCGAGCTTGGGTTTTGTTGCCGTGTTATATGCCAAGCTTCACTGCCGAATGGCGCTTTCTAAGATGTCTTTATTGTGAGAACTTGTTATATGCTTTGTCCCTGGAGTGACAAAGGAGTTATCAAATATCAAAGACTGCGATCTTTTTCAATCTAAGGCCTGAGTATTACATCTGTTTATCAATCATCAATTAACTTAACGCGGAATGTGCTTTCTAGTCTTTACCATATTGCAACATTTGTTGGTATTCACAGTCCATCATCATGGCACAAGAATGAATGGTGCTGCTAGCGCCATCTGTTGAGAATCGCGCCAGGGACTCTTCTTCGGCATCGACTGGAGGTGCGAAACTGACCCCGAAGGTTCTGGACTGGCCGCGATGTGGCGTACCGGAACTTTATCGAAATAACGAGTACCTGCGATGCGGAATATACAGGGCGCGTCATCTATTACTTTTTTATATTTGAAAAATCAGCACGCTTTTTACGAGGTGAAATGGAATTTTTTTATTGATGAATGAAGGTTGGTTTATGCCATTTATGTTTGAAAAATAACATCAGTCATGTGACCACCGCAGCATCGTTTTCAGGCCAACATCCGAACATCAATGACTTTTCCCAGTATAATCGGGTCTATGGCCGCAATTTCAGTCCGAATATTGCGCTTTAGGTCTTGAATTGTCCGGGGACCATTCGCTTACACTTTTCCTTTCAAAAATCCCCAAAGAAAACAGTCAAGAGGTGTTAAGTCGCACGATCTCGGGGGCCAACCGACATGTGAATTTCGTGATATTATGCGGTCTTGAAATTTCGTGTGCAATAAGGCGATTGTTTGGGGCAAGATGTGTGATCCGTTGCTCCGTCTCGATGAAACCAAAGATCGTCGGTACTAATACGATCCCATTGTGGCCACAAAAAGTCTGTTAACATGCCGCGAT